CTCTGTCGCCCAGGCTGGAGTGCAGTGGCACAATCTTGGCTCACTGCAACCTCCGCCTCCCAGGCTGAAGTGATTCTCCTGCCTCAGCCTCCTGAGTAGCTGGGATTACAGGCATGCGCCGTCACGCCCAGCTGATTTTTGTATTTTTAGTGGAGACAGGGTTTTACCATGTTGGCCAGGCTGTTCTTGAACTCCTGACCTCAAGTGATTCACCCATTTCAGCCTCCCAAAGGGCTGGGATTACAGGCATGAGCCACTGTGCCCAGCCTTGCATAAGTCTTTCTACATCTTTAATTTTTTTGTAGAGATGGGGTCTCCCTATGTTGCTCAGGCTGCTCTGAAACTCCTGGCCTCATGCAGTCCTCCCACCTCGGCCTCCCAAAGTGATGGGATTATAGGCATGAGCCACTGCACCTGGCCAAAAGGCTAAATTTTCCACCAAGCTAACATTCCTGAGCTTTTGGTGCCAAAAGAACTTCTTTTTTAGTGAGGTATTTTTTCATGTTTGTACTCTAGATTTAGATCAGAGATTAGATTTTAAAATGAAATAACAAAATATACAGCAATAACTGACAGAAAAATATTTTGCAGAGAAAAAGATGGGGAGGAAAAGCCTCTCATTTAGGAAAACCTATTAAGTGTTATGGGGCCGGGCATGGTGGCTCACGCCTGTAATCCCAGCACTTTCGGAGGCCGAGGCGGGTGGATCACCTGAGGCTAGGAGTTCGAGACCAGCCTGGCCAACATGGCAAAACCCTCTTTCTACTTAAATACAAAAAATTAGCCTGGCATGGTGGCAGGTGCCTGTAATCCCAGCTACTCGGGAGGCTGAGGCAGGAGAATCTCTTGAACCCGGGAGGCGGAGGGTGCAGAGAGTTGAGATCATGCCATTGCACTCCAGCCTGGGCAACAGAGAGAGAGTCCTCAAAAAAAAAAAAAAAAAAAGGTGTTATGGGATGTTCAAGTAAGGCAACCAACCATCCTGGTTTGCGCGAGACTGTTCTGGTTTTAGCACTGAAAGTTCCGTATCCTGAGAAACCCCTCAGTCCCAAGCAAACCCAGATGGTTGGTCATCAAAATCCAAGTCCAAGGGCCTTTACACTCTAGAAAAGCATTACTACAGGAAAAAAAAAAACAAAAAAACTTGCACTCTGTGCCAATTAAAATCTTTGCGAAGCAGCTGTGCATGTGCAGATCTGCTCAGAACTCTTCTTCCATGGGGAAGCTGGACTGTTTGGATATTGTTGGGCATTTTCCTGAGTCTTTAAAAGTGCTTGTTTGCTGAGTTTTGAATTTCACGTGTTTTGTTCCTCACAGAGTGACTGAGTCATCCAGGCCCTGTCATCTTACCAGAACGGAGCCTTGAAGGCTCTGCCCAGCCTCCTGTGGCCCCTTCACCATCCCACCCACATCCTCCCACATCAAGCTTTCTCGTCCTTTGCAGTGCAGCCCACTGTTCCCAAAGAGGGTGAGAGTAGGAGTCATGACATTTCTCCCCATCTTTGACTCATCCCTCTGCTCCCAGGTGGCAGACAATCTAGAAGTGTTGGCTCAAGGAGCTAGTTTTGTTGTTAATATTAAAATAGCTAGTAGTTGGCTAGGTGCAGTGGTTCATGCCTGTAATCCCAGCACTTTGGAAGGCCAAGGAGGGATCATTTGAGGTCAGGAGTTCAGGACAATCCTGGCCAACATGGTGAAACCCTATCTCTACTAAAAATACAAAAATAGCCAGGTGTGGTGGCGGACGTCTGTAGTCCCAGCTACTCGGGAGGCTGAGGCAGGAGAATCACTTGAACCTGGGAGGCCGAGGTTGCAGTGAGCTGAGATCATGCCACTCCATTCCAGCCTGGGTGATGGAATGAGACCCTATCTCAAAAAAACAGAATACAATATAATAGCTAGTAGTTATTGGGCACTTACCATGTGCCAGGCACTGTGTTAAGCCCTTAACAGGCACTGTGTTGTTATACCCCTATCAGGTATTACATACAATTTATAGAGCAGGGAACTGAGAACTTTAAAAGTCAAGTCACTTGCCCAAGGTCAAGAGCTAGGAAGCTCGGAGTGTAAACCCAGGCTGCCTGACACTCAGGTTTAACTCTGCTATCTGCCTGCTCTATTTCATGTTTTTCATGTGAGACTTCAGTGAAGGGACGGCAGGAATGGGGAAAGATAGAGGAATAAGGCAGCTCAAAACCCAAGCCACCTGAAAGGTCACATGAAGTGCATTTAATAACTATGTGTGATCCTCCTCTTCCATTGTTTAACCCCCGCCTGGGCTCAAGTAAAAAGTACCTGTCACTGGGTCTTCAGCCACACCAACCCACGGTGCAAAATATCTGGAGTAAAAGTCAAACGACCGGCTCTGCCCACCAGGCTCTCCTTTAAGGGTAAGAATAAGCCCTTTCACCTTCCCTGTGTTTTCAACTTGCAGCAGATTCTCCGTGTTCACTTTCAGGTTCTCCAGAAATGACCTGGTTCATAAATGAGACGGATTAGGACAAACCCATTTCACAGCCCACTCACCACACAGATTCTGTAAAACAGGCCAGGGTGCAGCTTGCTCAAACAGCTCAGCAGGAAAGCAGGGAAGAACAAGTGGGAATGTCTTCCTACTGGGGAAAGAAACGCTCTGGCGGCGTAAATCATGGTTTGACTGGACACAGCACAGCCAGACCAAGGCAGAGCTATAAATCTGGGCACTCAGCCCTCCCCAAAGTGCTGATACGACCAAAAATCTTACCTGTTGTAAGTGTCACTGAGGCGGAGGAGGAGCTTT